CAAAAAAGAAAAAGCACTTGAGTTAGAAAGGAAGAAATGGTGGTGGGAAACTGGAAGCACATGCAAAGGAAATGAAACTACATCACTTTCTTACACCACATACAGGAATAAATCCAAAATGCATTAAAATTTTAAGTATAAAACCTGAAACGATAAAACTTCTAGAAGAAAACATAGGCAGCAAACGCTTTGAATTGCTCTTGGCAATATTTTTTTGTGTATGTCTCATTATGTGAGTGAAACAATAGCAACAAAAAAATAAATGAGACTACATCAAACTTAAAGAGTTTTTACACAGTGAAGAAAACAATCAACAAAATGAAAAGACAGCCTACTGAATGGAAATGAAAGAAGATATTCACCTATGTTTAATATCCAAAGTATATAAGAAATTAATACAATTTAACACCACCAACAACAAACAAAAAAATAGCCTGGCTGACGTGACTTAGTGGTTGAGCGTCATCCTATAAACTAAGTCACCATTCAGTTCCCAGTCAGGACACATGCCTGGGTTGCAAGCTTCATCCCTAATGTGCAGGAAACACCCAATCAATGTTCTATCTCATCATTGAGGTTTCTAGCTCTTCCCTCCCCACCGCCACCCCCCTGAAGTCAGTAAAAATATATTTTGAAGAAATGGGCCAGGGATCTAAATAGACACTTCTACAAAGGGGACATACAGATGACATATGAAAGATGCTCAACATCACTAATTATTAGAGAAATGCAAATTAAAACCAGAATGAAAGGTCACTTCACCCTGTCCGAAAGGCTGTCTGTAACAAATTAGCAGACAAGAGATGGCAAGGGTGTGGAGAAAGGGGAACCTTCATGCATTGTTGGTGGGAATGCAGACTGGTGCAGCCAGTGTGGAAAACAGTATGAGGCTACCTCAAAAAATTAAAAATAGAACACCATGTGACCCAGCAATTCCACTTCTGGGTATTGATCCAAAGAAGTCTAAAACACTAATTTGAAAAGATCTGTACATCTCTATGTTTACTGTAACATCCTGTATAATAGAGGTAATATGCAAATTGACCCTCATGCCCTCACATCACAAGATGGCTGCTCCCATGTCATAAAATGGTTACCCCCACATCATCACAAGATGGCCACTCCCATGTCATCACAAGATAACTACCACAATATGGCCACCCCCATGTTGTCAGAAGGGGAGGACAGTTGGGAGGCACCAGGCCTGCAGGGGAGGGCTGTTGTGGGGAAGGGGGGGCAGGCCTGCAAGAAAGCAGTTAGGTGTCACTTAGGCCATCAGGGGGCAGTTGGGGCAATTAGATAGGCAGTCAAGTGGTTGGGAGCCAGCAGTCCTGGATTGTGAGAGGGATGTCCAACTGCCGGTTTAGGCCCAATCCCAAACTGGCAGTCAGCTGTCCCCCAAAGGTCCCAGGTTGGAGAGGGTGCAGGCTGGGCTGAAGGACACACACACACACACACCCGCATGAATTTCATGCACCAGGCCTCTAGTTATTTATAATAGCTAAGTAGGGAAGCAACCTAAGTTTCCCTTCGATAGACAAATGAATAAAGATGTGACACATATATACAATGGAATAGTACTCAGCCATAAAAAAGAATGAAATCTTGCCATTTGTAATAACATAGATGGACCTAGAATGCATTATGCTAAGTAAAATAACTCAAAGACAAATACCATATGATTTCACATATATGTGGAATCTAAAAAATAAAATAAGCAATACAAATACATCTAAAGAACAATTGATAGTTGCCAGATGGGGGAGTAGTCAGGGGAATGGTGAAATGGTAAAGGGATTAAGATATACACATTTCCAGTTATAAACATAGTTACGGGTTGTAAACTATAGCATAGGAAATGTAGTCAATATTGTAATAATCACATATTGTTTCAAGTGAGTACTAGACTTACCGAGCTGATCACTTCTTAAGTCATATAGCCATCTAAACACTATGTTGTACATTTGAAACTAAGGTAATATTGTATGCCAATAGTAATTGAAAAATAAAAATTGTTTAAAAGAAAGGACTGAAGTTTTCTCATCAGAAATGAGGAATCCAAGAAAGGTTGAAAAGCATGGGTTTTTAAGGAAACCAAGTAGTTGTATTTAATGACTTCATCCAGGAACATTTGATACCTGAGAGAAGGATGAAGAAATCAAGTGGAAGGTGCTTTCTGCAGGGCAGGAGACTGGCTGTGGAGGTGTGGTGAGGGGCAGAAACGCTACATGATCTAAGTTTCTTCTTAGGCATATTGTTAAGTATATGCTTAACAAAACGAGAGGTGAGGCCAGGAGAAAGCAAGTTGGAGAGTAAGGAATTAAAGGATTGAAGATTCTAAAGAAAGCAGATAAGTTATTTTGAAAAGGAGGAGTATGTAAAAAGAAAGTTGGGGAATTTCAGAATTTAAGATTATAGAGGTAGAATTCTAAAAGTTGGGTCTAGAAAACTTATCTTTCAAAAATACAGATGGGAACTTATCTCTTGTGGCTTGAAAACCTCGATTTCTGGGTGAGTCTTTACTACTTAAAGAACAAGCAAGGCTCATCACAAACTGGACCAACTTCCTTTTCCAGGCAAATGTGTCCTCATCTGTTGTGAACCCCATAGTCTCACCTCACGCTGCACAGATTCCTGAAGGCCTTTACCTGCTTTGCCTTTGCACATGCTGTTCCCCTTGCGTGAAATGTTCTTCCTCCTCTTTGCCTTGCAAACTCCCGCCCATCTTCAAGCCTAACTCAGGCAGCACTTTCTCTGCCAGGTCTTTCCAGGCTCCTTCAAAACAAAACAACACTGAGCACGTCTTTGTCTCTGCTCCTGCATTTCTCTCTAGACGTCCTGTGGGATTTTACCACAGTATATTAATTTATATGTCTCTCTCTCCAAAACCGGTTTGGCTCAGCGGTAGAGCGTCGGTCTGTGGACTGAAAGGTCCCGGGTTCTATTCCGGTCAAGGGCAAGTACGTTGGTTGCGGGCACATCTCCAGTCAGGGGTTTGCAAGAGGCAGCTGGAAACGTCTCATCAACGTTTCTAGCTCTCTATCTCTCTCCCTTCCTCTCTGTAAAAAAATAATATATATATATATATTTTTTTTAAATGTATATGTCTCTCTATTCAGTAGATTATAAACTCCTTGACTTCAGAACCTATCTCATTCTCTCCTTCACCTATAATGCAAGTACAGATAGTAGGTGTATAGTATCTTGTTCTTTGCTGTGGAATTTTAAAGGAGTGAGTTAATCTGGTACTTCTCAAATGTGAACCGAATCACCTAGAGATCTTGTTAAACCTCAGATTCTGGCCCTGACCGGGGTGGCTCAGTTGGTTGGGCACTGTCCCATGCACCTAGAGGTCGCAGGTTTGATTCCCCATAGGACACATGCCTGGGTTGCGGGTTTGATTCCCAGGAGGAGGTGTGCAAGAGGTGGCTGATCAATGGTTCTTCCCCCCCCCTCCCCCATCTCTCTCTAAAAGTCAATTAAAACATCTAACAAAAAAACAAAACTTTCATTTACTCTGAGATCCTGCCTCTCTAACAAGTTTCCCAGTGGTGCCAGTGTTGCTGGGTTTGTGGAACTCATCCAGCAAGCCTTTGCCCAAGTAAATAGCGGAAGTGTAGTAAAGATAAAGCTTAATAGGAATGTGGAATGGGAGCACTTATTGGGACAGAGACTTGAAAAAGCCTCACTGTGAACACTGGAGTCCTTAAAATGATAGCAGAACACCACATGGGAAGAGATGCTTATCGTGGAATAAAGCAGGAGACCAGAGTGGGGACAATAGCTAAGAAGGCTGGGGTGATATAGTTCTGTGGCTTATGCCTCAGAAAAGGAGGTGTTGTCCGGTGCTGGCAGCCACTGTGCCAGGACTGCAGTGAAGGATACTGGGGGGGGGGGGGGGGGGGGGGGTGGCGGTGTGGGTCTGGGGTTCACTGGAAGGGTTAGGACCTCCATGTGTACTCCAAACAAAATGGCACTTCCCCCGATGTGGACAGGAGTGTGAGTGACAAATGATCATTTCCTGATCTTAAGTTACCAGGCTCAAAGTAGGAAGGTTCTTTCTTTTTTTAAACTCATAAATGATGGGGAAAGTAGCACCAACAAACATTCTGCTCTACATATAATATCACAGGTCTGATGATGGGTGCGATCAATCCCATTTCTTTTGTGCTCTGTGTGCAGAGGGTACAACAAGTACCCATGTATGTTTAACAATAGGGGAAAGGCAAAGATAAAGAACTGTTACATCTCCCACTCACCCCTTCCCCCACAGAGAACTAATCAATATTTACCGCCTGATGCGTATTCTTGTAGCTTTTACCCATGCAAATTTATGTGCATAGACAGGAATTTTTCAAATTCCATCATGGTGCTTTAGCAGGCACATTATTCTGCAGACTGTTTTTCTCACTTAGGATAGGTCATAAACATCCCTCCAGGTCAGTGGATAGAGCTCTAACTTGTTTTTTTCCTAGTCATTTTAAAATAGCTGTGTATAAATATAGATGTCCCATAATTTGTTCTGCCATTCTCCCATTGATGGAAAATTGGGTAATTTCCAATTTTGGCTACTACAAACAATCTGACACACACGAAAAACTCTATTGTGACAGTGCCTCAGTACCAGAACTCTGATTTCAACCAGCCACGCATATCACAGTAGCTTTCATATCAAGGACATTTCTGAATGAAGCTTAGCAGTGGCTAGGCCTGTGTTACCCAATGTAGTAGCCATTGGTCACATGTAGCTATTTAAATTTGCTAGAATTAAGTCACATTAAACATTTACTTCCTCAGTCACATCAGCCTCATTTCATGTGTTCAGCAGCCACATGAGAGTAGTGGCCACCATAGTAGACAGCACAGCACAGACCATTCCACCCTCAGAAAATTCCACTGCGCAGCCTGGACTAGACACTAGTGCTACACCCTGGAGAAGGTGTTGTAAGAGAGCAAATTTTTAAAAGTACAAACTGTGTTTTAATTGGTTGCCTCTGCAGTTACTTCAACGAGAATCAATATCCAGATGAAGCAAAGAGAGAAGAAATTGCAAACGCTTGCAATGCAGTTATACAGAAGCCAGGTAAGGCAGCGAGCTATGCTCTGCGGGGCAGCTCTCGGCTTCAGATCCTCACTTAGGACACGAAAGGCCCTGACTCATCCCACTCTGTGCTCTCTGTGCCATCCTCCTGTGGAGAGGCACGCCCTGTCCTGGTCAAACCATGCTTCGTGGGGACGTGACTGTGCTGTCCAATCAGAGGTTCATATGGGAACGTTTCCAGGGAGTGTCCCTGATGAAGAGGCAAGAGCTTGAAATTAATGTTTTTAAGACTATAGGTTTCTTTTTCCAAAAAATAGCATAAATGTATCAATTCCAAAATAGTTTAAATCTTTAATCACTTTGTTAATAAAAATATTGGCATAGAATTTTTTAACCATTGTGAATTGTCTAATTTAGAGCTGAAGAGAAAACTGTATTTGGAGTTGGCTTTGGGGGGACTTCTGCTCAGCCAGGAGGGGTTGGGAGGATTCCATTCTGAGGTCCTGCCCTCATGCGCGTCAGCAGAGCCACTTAAACACACTCGCCCTTTCTTCCAGGTGCTAAGATAGTCCACATTTTACAGTTTTTTTTACCAAAAACCATTCAGTTATGACAATCGGATTGATCTCCATTTGGCCCATTAACGTGATTGGCTTAAAGGCCGTAAATTAAAGTATAAATGCTTTGTAATAATTAAATAGTAATTTATTCTTCCTTAGCTAGAAGCCTGACTGCTTAAAAGTCCAGAGCCTACAAACTCAGCTCTGTCATCATCTAAAAGTCCCATCCCTAAAGCTGTTGGAACTCCAACTCTTCCTGGAAAACACATTACCCCTAGCTCATCAAGGCCCTAACCTGTTTTCTGGAGTCTCCACCCATGTGGGTTAAAGCTGAGACAGGAGAGGACAGGGTGGGAGGGAAAGGTACAGGTGGGTCCTTGTTGGCAAACATGGTGCTGTCCATAAGAAGTCACATTTGACAGCAAAGAAGATAATAAATCTAAAATGTTCCTCTCGTGCTGTGTTGCAGCATCGTCACAATAACGGATGGCTAAGTAGCATTTAGTCTCCAAGAAAACATGAGACAGCAGTAACTAATCAGTGTAAGATCTGAAAGACGTATGTAAACCAGCTATCTGAAACCTGGCTAAGGAATAGCATGGTCATCTAGAATGATGCTAATTAAATGAAGCCTCTGTGTGCTCTCCGGTGAACAGCAGCCCCAGCAGCCTGACTCTGTGATACCCTTTAGGATTGTATTTAATACTGGAATTCTTTAAGATTGTGTGGCTTTCTGAATTCAGGCATTTTATATTATGAGTTGCTATTTGTGAATTTTTTCAGTAATAATTTGAGTATGAACATTGTACTAGGTGTTGCAAACCTGCCCCCCTACATATCTGTTATTTCAACAATAAGTGCAATCAATAGAACTTTTAAAAAGGAAAAGTATTATTCCTTAAAACTAGTCTGAGATATAGATTACCTGAATTTTATTGCATGCATTCACAGGCAAAAAACTGTCAGACCTGGAGCGAGTTACCTCTCTGAAAGTGTACAATTGGTTTGCCAACAGGCGGAAGGAGATCAAGAGGAGAGCCAATATCGGTAATGTATCAGGGAGGCTGCTTCTCCTTTCGGGCAGTTAACGCTGTCGATTTTAAGCGGGACTTCAGTTTAGAACTGCAGGTATAAAGTACCCTACATTTTAAACCTAGTAAGAATTGTCCTTATGTTTTTCTTCATTGTATTTTTAATAACCCAGTTAATATTACTTAAAGTATTTGTTACAAAATAATGCTATTATTATTTCTCAAACTCATTGTTCTTAATGTTCTAGACTCTAGAATGAGACATGGTCTCTGAGCAGTTACTCCTGTGGTGCATGTTAAAGACACTTGTAAGGTCTGGAGAGAAGGAATGTGAAACCCCAGCTTCTTTGTTATTATCTGGTTATGACCTCAGAATTAAGGAACATCTGATTATTAGAGTTTGAATGAAAGAATCTTAGGGAACATAGCAAAAGGCAGAGATTTTAAAAAGAAGGGAGCATTTAAGAAATTGATGAGCTTATGGCAGGGGGGCAGGGGTTGCGATTCTAAAACTATATTTCATTTTAAACTTACTCCCTCTTCATCATTACAAATCTCAAACACTTTAACGAACTTCAAGATGGGAGGTCCGTATTATTAGTTGGTGTCAACCATGCAACAGTCAACCACGCAAATGCAGCCCACACAGCAGCAGGCCCCAGAATGCACACGTGTCCCTCATCAGACCTCCATGCCCTGAGCTCCATCTGTCTGCAATTTCAAAGAAACAGAACATAGGGAAACCTAGGTTCTTATTTAATGACGTTCTAATTCCTCAACACAGAAAATTAATTCAGCATTTAGGCCATTATGATGCTGTAACAGATAATTTAGGGATCCATTTGCTTTTTTCGAAGAAGCAGCAATCCTGGAGAGTCATGGGATAGATGTACAGAGTCCAGGGGGCCATTCCAACAGTGACGACGTCGATGGCAACGACTACTCCGAGCAGGTAAGGGGCTGAGCAGAGGATCAGGGTACAGAGCGGGTGGGAGAGTGTGACAGCTCAGTTCTGCGGTGCATATGGTGTGGGAGGGGAAGAGGAGACAGTCTGATGTCCCTCCACACTGTACTCGTGTGTCTAGTTGGATTTTTGTGTAATTAGAAAGCAATGTGGTAAGATTCAGTTGTCCTGTTGAATTTGTGAGAAATCGTTATTCACCCACATGGATTTATTGTCATACAACAGGATACTTGGCAAGTACGCAATGGGGAGGAGGAGGAGGGAAGAAGTTCAGAGGGAGTCAGAGAAGCAGAGAAGGTAGAAGAAGAGAGGAGGATCTGATCCAAACAAGCAAGTTACACCATTCACCACACACACACTCACTGTCTGAGAAACACTAGGGGCTGCTGGGTAGCTGTACCCAAGCCTAAGCACCACCGATGGCGCCCAGTGGAGGGCCCCACCCCCCGCGCCCCATCTCAGTGGGAACCACGTGTTGAGATGAGTGGTTCTTCCAGAGTCTCCGGCACATTGACACACACACCCTCTCATAAATGCATGTCCTCTACCTCACCCGACTTACTCTTCATTGCTTGGGGGCAGAAATATATTTAATTATAGCCACTGGATGGAGAAATTCAGTAATGAAGGATGTGGGATGTTCCCTACCCCCATATCTGTTGACAGATTTCATTTACATTTTTATGGGATTTGAAATTCATTGACATTTGGAATGTGGTCTCTCCTGGACCCCAGGAAGGATACTTCCCTGTGGCCTATGCCCCTCCCTTGCTGCTCAGCCAGCCCTTAAATCCCGCCCTCTGTGCTCCTTCTGCCTCCGGTGGCACAACCTGTTCAGACACTGCACCACCTAAGCCCAGCCCATGAACACCAGAATGAAACGGTGCCTGTACTTTTCCCGGGACCTGTTCCTCTCTGGGCTCCACATGGCAGCTCCACCTTTCCCCGGGAGTGTTCATAAGTCTTCCTCACTGGAAACATTCCTGGCATTTCCACCTTTTTATCCAGATGCCCTAAGGCAGCATATCCCACCTCCCAGAATTCTTTGATGCAGATTTCCCCTGAAGGTGGGGAACCCGCCCTTCTTTGTAACACTGTGTCCTCCCTGCCCTATTGTTAGCATCTCAGTGAGGGGAGGGGTGTCACACTCCAGCTAAGGTGGCCGCCTCCCGCACTGCAGCGGCTGCACACTCTCCCCGAGCTGTCCCGCAGTGACACTGCCGACAGTTCCCTGCTGTTGTCATCGAGAGATGGTTATTTTTTTTTATTTTTTATTTTTTTACAAAAGTGCAGTTTTATCCATAAGATGTTGGTGTCTAACTTCCTGTCTAGTTTTCTCAGTTCAGTGGAGAGATACCATGAATTCTAATAATCCTGGGAGCACCATCCTGAATTTAATAGCTCACCATCATGGCCTTCGGTGACTAGAGCCTTGTTTTTTTTACAAAACTAGAATGAGCCAGATTTGATTATTACCAACAACAATCTTCCTGAAAGAACACAATGCACAGCAAGAAAAGAAAAAACTTGTCTGTTGAATTTTAAAACTGTCACCCCGAAATCTCTGGACTATCCATTCAGTGTCTACTTAAATGCATTTCGCCCCACTCCGTCCTGAGCCCTTCCCCCCTCTCCTCCGCCCCAGCTGCTCTGCCTCCCCTTGCCCAGCATGCCTTTCTGGGAGCTGAAGCCTGTCCCCATCCTCTAACATGTGTTTCTTATCCCTGCACGTCTAGGATGACAGCACTAGCCATAGTGACCACCAGGACCCCATCTCACTCGCTGTGGAAATGGCAGCCGTCAACCACACCATCTTGGCATTGGCCCGACAAGGAGCCAACGAAATCAAGACAGAGGCCCTGGATGACGACTGACCGGGGAGGGCGACGGGAGAGTAACTTAGTTTAGACGTAGCACCTTAGCAGACTTTCCTCGGTCCTTAACACGTGTTCTCACAGTATAACTTGCAGTTTCTTGTATGTCAGTTAGCCGTTAGGGTCTTCTTGTTCTGTGAAGATGGCATGGTGCCCTCCGCCTTTGCATATACTCTCTCAGTATTAATTCCCAGTAAATAATAAGCAACCAACCAACCAACCAACCACACTTCCCTCTCCCAGCCCCAAGGCTAGAAATTTCGCTGCTCCGTCTTAGCATTCCAAGAAAGTGCTTCCAGGTATGTAGATAGCCCTCCGGCCTCCGACACTAGGCTACATGTAACCCGAGGATGCCGCAGCCCCCTGTCCCACCGTCTGTCCCCTTCCCTCCTCGGCTGACAGGATGCAGGCTGAGGCAGTGTGGCCCGGGACTGACGGCCCAGGCCGGGAGTGTCCGCAGTGAAAGGAGCACGAGCCCCACCTCGGGGTCCCTGATTTCTAGCTTCAACAAGCCGTGCCTCACAACAGTCACTCGGGCGGTGACGCCTGTCTGGGCTGTGCCGGAACGCAGCAGGGGAGCTCCAGCTCAGACTCAGGTGAGGGTGCCATGCCTGACAGACACCCAGTCCTCTCACAGCTGTGTGACTGATAGATAAAATACTGCCTTCTGCCTTTGGGACCATGATTAAAACAGACAAAAATAGAGGTCATTTAAAAACACCCCAGCTTGAGAGGCACTGGGAAGTGACACGAGCTGAATGTGTGTGGCTGCCGCGGCCAGCTCTCAGAACCGCCGTCTGTCAGGGTGGCTCGGGCCGGGCCTGGCTGGGAAAGTGCCCGAGGTCGTCAGGAGCTGCTTGCCTCCTGTGTCCCCTTCCCTGCCGCCAAACAAGTCTTTCCAGGACGAAGCTAAGGTTAAAAATGCGTGAATGAACTTCAGTCTTTGTGTCCATCAGCTGAAGCCCTCGATGTGAGGGCTATAGAGGACTGGACAGTGGCTGTTGCTGACTGACTCACTCACAGATGCTAACACTTCCCCGCACAGGGGCAGGAAGACGGGACGTTGGCCACGGACGTGGTGGTTCTGCGTGACAGACGGGTGTGACTGCTTTGGTGTTCTCTTTGCTCTGTCCTTGGAGCCGTGTGAAAAGCTGTATTGCTACAGGCAATTTATTTAATAATTGGAAGCCATATTGATAATGGATGTGGTAATATTTGTAAAGTTTAATCTTCTTTAAGCAGCAGTAACCTAATGGAATTTTTTTCCTTGATCATATATGTAGCACTTTTGTTACTTCTTAAAGATATTTATATTTGATAAACCTTTTTTTCATTTTGAGAACTCAAAATACCAAACAGTGAACTTGCGTTATAAAGTCACCCTGTGATCACCTTGTCATCTAGTAGCAAAAATGATGAACTATTCATGCATCGAAGAAAATTACATCTGCTGGCCCTGTATGAAAATGATCTCTCAGCATCCCGGTTAAATGACACGCTGTCAGTGCGGTAAGGAACGGCCCTCCCCTCGGGGCAACGGCGGAGGGCGTGTCTGAGAGGGCACGCACCCTGCCTTTGCCCGGTCCATCTCCTTCCTGCGGACAATGGGGCCTCGTGTAAGGGGACTGTGGGTCCTTTTGTCCTTTACCTGAAAACGACTTCTAAGATAGAAGAAGATGCCGTTTCCTTACCCTCCCTCCCCCTACCAATGTATCCAACTTAAAACCATTGAGAGTGAGACTTACTGACCTTCCCTTTTCTCTTTCTCGTTAGTGAGATACTGCATGTCGCCAGTCTCTCGCCAGTCTAACTCCTCCGCAGGCACACGGTGACGCCACCAGCTCGTGCCTGTGAGCCCGCGGGCGTCAGTGTGAGCCAGCCTGAGCGCGGGCGTCACGGCGCCGCTGTGGGCCTGTGGCTTACGGGGCTGTCGGCAGGGCCTTGCCTGCTCTTGTCCGTGGATTTCAGGGGGAAATGTATATACTTTTTCACTTCCAAGAGCTGAAGTAGAATGGAGTAGCCTTTTCTGTTTTACTGTGTTACTTGAACCAACAGATTCAAGAGTAGCATTTGTTCTTCTCAGGAATGACCCCCACTCGTTTTCTTTCTTGCCGTCTTTGACTTTTCGTTTAGATTAGGAAGTTGTGTTACTTTTCTTTCCTTTTATACGACTTAGAACTATAACTTGTATCTTCCCATTTCTGTGGAATTTTGTTGGCTTATTCTAGGCTGATTCAGAAAAAAAAAAGGGGGGGAGGGGGAGAAAAATACTCTTTCTGACAAGCCACATCCATGATTGATTATTGTCAGGAGATTATTATAATTGATAGCTTCTTTATGATGGGATTGCTCGTCTGGTTTGTGCTTGCTGTTCTTTTTAAAGAAGCAGACAAACTGTTAAGAAGACAGCTGCAGTTTCTAAAGAACTATAGTGATTGCCAGAGAGGAGCTCAAAGGTTTCATTGTTTTAAGACATTTAAGGAAGGGAAGGGGGACAGAGAACGAAGAAAGGAGAGTGAGTGTCCAGAGGCAGCACCAGGCCCCGTCTAGGATCTCGGGAAGGAAGGGATGTGTCCAGAGGAGCAGGAGACTGCTGGCTCGCTCTCACCACTGCCTTACGTGCTCTTGCTTTTCACCAAGAGTAGACCTTTAGTTCTTAGGGGCGTACTGTTTTGTTTTTTACCAGGTTCCATTCCACTCTCTTGTCCAAGTTACCTTAGTTATTATAATGGCATATGGAGTTGCCACTAATTTGTAATATTTTTGAATCGTAATACTTTTTCTGAAGTTTTCTTAGGTTTAAGATGTGATATTGTAATAGAAACTGCTCTCTTACTGAAGGAAATAGCTGGGCTCTTAAAGAACCCCTGCTGTTCCCGTGGTCGTCCTGTCTCTTCTCTTCATGGTGGGCTTTCTCCAGGGCTAATCAGATCAGAAGGCCAGGGGGTTGGAGGGAGGGGCTTGCCAGTTCATGTCACTTGTCTGTATTATCGTTTTAAGACTTCATCAAATTACCGTGGTCACCTGGGTACACGTCCTTCCTAAAACAGAGCCTTACAAAGGGACCTCCTAACGATGGACCATCCTGATGAAATCTGCCTCTCCGTCTCCGTCCATAACTCGGATGTTCCGTGAAGGCCCGGGAGAACATTCGGTCCACTCTTATCTGAGGTGGCTTAGTGCAGTGAGGACCAAATAGCATCTTGGGGCAGGCGGGTGTGGTTCCTGCACGTTGCCACTGGTGGGACAACCTGCCCCTCATTCCCATCTCCCCACAGAAAGGCAGACTGGAGCGGGAAGACCCCGAAGGCACCTGTACTTCAGCTCAGTAGAGGTGACCCCTAAAAAGCGGAGAATGAATGAGGAGGAGACGCTCATCAACATGAAGTGTGCGGATCAGGACCGCAGTCGGGGTGGACAGCAGGTGATGCAGGGCCACAGCAGCTCCGCTGGGCCAGGCATCAGGTCACTTACCTCAAGGGGATGATTGGAGCGCGCAGACACTGGTTTCTTTTCTGCATTTGGCCTTTGTCTCTATAAATTTCTCTCTTGGATCCCAGCCGTCAGGCATCAAGTGTAGCTGCACTTCCTTTCCTCGGGACCTCCAGTCACATCCTTTCCTCCGACCAGCAGCTCTTCCGTTCCCCTGGGCTCCAGCCCGGAGTCTCGGCACGCGCGTCCTGGCTGGAGCTGTTTGCATGTAGGGGAGCGGCATCTCCACCCGACCCTCCTGCCGCCCAGCCCCATGTTTCCTACCAGCCCCACATGTCCCATCGACCAGCCACATTCTCTCTGCCCATAGCAGCGGAAGTAATCCGTTCATAAATTATCTCCCACTCCAGTCCTGAAAATGTGAAATTCAAGTCCTTTCTGTCTGTCCTGAGAGGTTTGGTAAGAAGCATTCTTCCCATTTAGCTCATGTCTCTGTCCCCCCCCCCCCCCCCCTTTCTTCTTTACTGGGAACCACCAGAGAGTTTTCCCCAGTGAGTCTCACAGATTCTTGGCCAATAATTGTCTTGTTGGTGATCCGCTGAGCGGCTCTGCCCCTCGGCTGAGCACTGGTTTTCTGTGTTCCTCTCGCCTGTGACTTAAACCTCCTGCCATTTTGTTGTGTTAGTGACGCTTCCGACTGCATTCGTCAGGTTGTGCTGAGCCCACAGACCCACGGACAGCTTTCCTGAGCCGGCTTTGTCGGGAGTCCCACGTGGACGCTGGCATGCGGGCCCGCTCCTCCTGGTGGCTCCGTGTGGGGTGTCGGGTGGAATTCCGCATGTGATACATTCCTTGCTGTGTGCTCGTGGAATAGCAGGGATGCTTTCTCAGGATTTGGGGGTCGGCTGTCGGCCATATTGAATTTGGCAAACTGAGTTGCGTGTCCTGAAGCCCTTTACTGTCCCTTCATTTCCAGGGTCTATTTAGTCACCTCATCAGGCGTGAGTTACCCCGGTGGAAGGTCTTCCCGGGAGGCAGCCATCCTGGCCAGGCAGGGCCCTTCTCTGTGCTGCGCGCTCTGTACTGGGAGAGACTTCCTTACGTGCGGGGGAAGTAGATGGTGGGAAAGGCTTTCTAGTCATCGCGCCTAAGAAGCCATTGCCGCCTGCCGAAGCTCCTCTCGCAGCAGGTTCTGCAGGGAAAGGCTGCTCAGTCCTTTAACGGCTGAGGCCCAGGCTGGTTCACTGACCTCTGGGCACAGCTTCATTCATGTCTGCGCGCAGTCAAACGCCTGAGTTTACAACCGAGAAGTTTCCACATCAGCACCATTCCTCTTTCGTGGTGGGGAAAGCAGCAGCAGCAAAAAGAACGCTAAGGACCCGAGAAACCCAATTTCCTGTAACATTGGTTTTCTTTTGAGATCAAGAAGGGAGGGAACAGAGAAGAGGGAAAATCCCGCTGCACCCAACAGTCTCCCATTCCCTTACCCCCTTACCTAAGGGGCCGGAGGGTGTCGATACCTTGGGATCCCAGATGTGCATGTTCCCAGACTCCTTTCCATCATTCCT